ATGAATGCTATCGATAAATGTTCGAATATAAAAACAACAATACAGAAAAACAAACGAAACCTCGAAAAAAATGTTATTAACAAATGATAAAATCGGCAGAAAATCGTTAATGTTAAAGCGATAACATAAATGAAAATTAAGCACAAGTAAACATTCTTAGGCGTACTCGGCTGAGCTGGTTGCAATTATTAGTTTCAGTATCGAGTAAATCACAAGATATTCAGAAGTTTTGAAGTCATTTCCACAATTTAGACCGGGAAATTCCGAAATGAAAATGAAAAATGAGGAAAACAAAGATGGAAATGAGATAATTGTTTAGAAAATTTGGTGAAAGCATTGTTCGTCTTGTCCACGGAAGATGGGATGCAAAAAGGGTCAAAGGCAAGCTCATCTCAGCCGCGTGTGCCTAGCAGCCTTGCTTATTTTGCTGTCTACTGATCTTCTTGTCCTTGTTTCGGGACTTCGGTGGTACTGGCAGGGCGCCCGACTCCTGTCTTCCATACTGGTATTTGTAGGTGTCAGAGCGCAGATAATCCATCAACGCTTGAGGACCTGAAATCAGGATATATAATTTGAGGATATAAATCAATTTAATCATAATATCACAATTATACTCATAATATTATTAATAAAATATTGATGATAATACAGTAACAACAACATTAATGATTACCATGGACCAATTCCTCAGCAATGGGCTGCACCCAAGGATTATTCTCAAGTCTAAAGACTTGTTTCGGTCCTATGAGATCCAGCGAAGCCAGTTCTGGAGGCAGAACTGTGAGACGATTACCCTGAATAATTGTGATGATAATAACAATATGAGCAATCTTAATAACAATAATAATAACAATAGCAAACCTGAATATGCAGTTCTCTCAGCCTATAAAGCTTTGCAATTTCTTTGGGTAATGCAACGAGGTCATTCTCCCTGAGTACCAAAATCTGAAGACTCGACAGATTTTCCACATCCGACGGCAAATACTCGAAGTCGTTATCGCCCAAATATAGCGCACGGAGGCTTGCTGCAATGGTTGAAACTCTGAATCACCATTAAAGGATCTCATATGATAACGATATCTTTATTATCATTACTGATAGCTTCACTATAAGTTAACACAAGAAACGCACTCATGAAAAAAAAATTGCCGGGCAAACTCCTCTCTGAGAGATTATTGTAGGTCAGATCCAGCACTTCGAGCGATTGAAACGAGCCGAAACCACGAGGCAAAATGCTCAGACGATTCATCCTGAAAAAAAAGGGCAGAATATTATGCAAAACTTGTCGATTTTATGCGATAATTTCTCATTTTCTCTACAAAAATTGCTTTTCCTCAACAATACACTGGGGAACGTAAGAAATTCCGTATAAATTTTCCGAAATTTGAATTAAAACTGAACCAAACTTGTTCTCTGTGATAACAAAATGTTCACAAATCTCATGCAGACACAGAGAAACTCCATTCGAGGA